CTTGCGTCCTGTGATGGACTGGTGTCAAGGGTGTGGTCCTGTCTTGCGTCCTGTGATGGACTGCTGTCCAGTATAAGCTCCGAGTTGCCACCACCCTCACCAGGAATAAGCACAGTTCTGATTAAGATGGACAGATGCGCTTGAGGCAACATGTGTCATAAAGCCATTTAAACCTGCTTAGTCTGGCTCCAAAAATGCATGCGCCACGAAACCAAGCAGACTCTCCTGATTTGAAACTCCAGTCTTTATTGCTTTGTGATAGACACCAGAAGCTTGAACCATATCAAGAGTAAAGTGGACTGAAAAAGAAGTACCGAACAAAAACGACTAATGCAAACCATCACAAAACCCTAGCAAGGTCATTTGCTTAAAAAGTATTGCAAGCATCTTAATTTTACTTATGTATAGCAGACCTTTACGACAATGAATGAACGAATAGGACGGTAAATGACAAATGAAATGAAAAGTAATGTTTTATTTTACAATTAAGATTATTGTAACTGCTAGCCAATGAATGTAATTGCAATAGGATAGAGTCATCAACCCTGACAGCATATAATTATTATTAGTGACTGCAAACATAGTGTTATGCTACGTTTATTATGCCTTTCAATGCAGGCGCCAGCACTTGACGTCTCTGTTAACGATGGTGGAAACTTCCTGGGATGAACTTCCTTTGAACAAACAGCAGTCACTCTTCCAAATTCAGCCTCTGTTAAAACCCTTACTTTTTAAAGGTGGAGAAATATTTTGAACAATTGTGACATCCTCCAAATTAATGTAACGGTAGTAATACCACTGTAGAAAAAAGGACACTGTCTAATTTTTCTTACTTCCAGTGCTCGAAACATGGGAGTCCAGTCCCTCCCTGCTAGTACTGACTCTCAGAAAGCAATAATATCTGCTCTTTAGAGATCAAGAGATCAATTACTGCTCCGAAGCTTAGCACTCAGAAAAAAAAGCTTCGCCAGGCTTTCTGCTGCAGTAATTGTATTAATCCAGCTCTTTCAATAGTCCCATTAATCTACCGCTGGCTCCACGCAGCTGTCTCTCGGTATATTGGAAATCAAAACCAATCTATAAATCAATGGCTTGAAAAAGCTGATAAGAACAAGTGATGTTCAGAAGACGCTCATATCACATTAATGATGGAAAAAATACATTAATTCAAAACAGAGCTAAAATTAAGCATTATCCATATAATTAATGGTAAGAACAAATGCACTGTCTTGCATTTGCCATTTAAAGACTAACACCGAAGCATTACAGGACCTACACATCACGCATGGCTACCGAGACGCGCTGATTATTTTCAGAACAAAATCAATACAAAATGACAGAGAGGCCGTGTTTCAAAAGACACCCTGATCCTGTAAAAAGATTTAATATTGGTTAGTGGAAATCACAACAGTTATAATCTCAACACGGCCTTACATTTCGTATCATGAACAACTAAGGAAATGAAAAGAAGACTGCTCGATTTCTGTATTCTGACTGCTGGACTGGTGCAGAATACAGGAATCTACGATGCTCATAAATAGCTGTGACATTAATTTGCACGTAATCCTAACAACCAGCACTAATCTTCAGCGCTGTACTGTAACCCTCTTTGAACATAGGCTACTCTATAACAGGTGCAAAAACGTGGCTGAAAATAGTTTGCCAAGACATGAAGAGAACACAGACCATCGTCAACATGGGTCAGAGGACAGTCCTCAGGGATGTGCGTCCTTATCTCCAGCAGAGATCCACCCGGCCGCCCGAGCTGTGAGCCCCCTGGGGTTGGATTTGAGACCCCTCAGGGGCCAGAGAACGCGTAAGACTAGGGGCCACGCTGACTAAAGCCAAAGTAATAAGACACTACGCTGCATGAGTCATTCCATGCGACAGTCATTAAACTGGAAAAGAACTTTACAGCATGACAACATCCCCAAATATCAAGCTGTCATATATCATCATGTGCCAAACACAATGACCCGCATGCATCATGTCGATACAGACAGAATAACAAGCCTTCACTGCTAACTGACACGAATATCTGCCCAATACTCCAATACTGCTCACTGTAAGAAGAGCATTAGGCACAGGCTCGCAAGAAATCAGCGTAAGCCTTTGGAACTGTGAACAATGTTGTTTATTCAATTACAGCTTGAAAAACTCTTGCATATCTTACTTTCACAGAGCTGGAGAAAGAAGGTTTTTCAGACTGTATGCATGACATTTTTTTCCAGTTTCAAATCCTTCCGCGTGATGGCCCGATAATGTCAGAGAAGAGACGGATCGCATGACTGGAGACCTACCTTCTTTGAGTGCCTTGTCCACATTGTGCGATATGACTGCCCTTCTCTGCTGCATGGACTCACACACCGGCCCAGAAAAATGGCCCTGAAATTCAAAGAACATCCTGTTCACCCCAAAACACAGCTCAAATGCAAAAGCATGCAAAAATAACAGGCAGACCTAATCTTAAAATGCTTCATACAACAAGGTCTCATATTTATACATTACAATTAACACAGAAACTAAAAGAAGAGGCACTTCTTTACTTGTTGAAAGACGCAGGGTGTTAGTTCAGCATCAAACAACTGGATAAGACCTCCGGTCAGTCGGCTCCGAGTGCCTAACTCGCTACATGGGCTGAAGAGTTTCTTTCTGCTCAAGACCAGAACCTTCCAAATCTACAGGAGACACAAGACCTTCCCTGCAGGCAGGGCTGAGGTTTTCTTTAGCGTCCAACAGTTGTCTGAGTTGTTTGCTACCTCCTCAGACAAACAGCAGTGTGGACAAGAGAAATGTGAAATTATACTACTGCTGTCTGCGGGTAGCATCTAGTTTACATACAGTATGTGGGGTGAGAAAGGCGGATGTGATCATCCAAATCGCAGTTTTTACCCAGGAAAAAAAACTAGGTACTTAGGTACTAAAAGTACCTAAAAATTATAAATAATTTAATTATAAATAAAAGTACTAATTTTAAAAAATGTTGTTTACTTGCTGTTTCATTTCTCACCCATAAAGAGCGAAATGGGATTCTGCACCTATTTACCATCATAACATGCTGATTAAAGATTTGCCTGCAGTGGAAGGTTACACGATTCCTGGGCAAACCGTTTTTGCAAGAGTAATTTTATTTTTAAAAAGCGCAAAATCGAATACAACGATAATGACTTGACAGGACCGTAGCAGTACCCTCTGGTGTGATATTATTCTTTTCACTGTGATATTAATATATCCCAAATATAGTATCACGCCATAACCCGGGGAATCAAATAAATTAAAAACTGCAGCTCAATATTCTTGAAATCGAATGCCACAACCACACACACCCGCCCCTGTTATAATCAGTTCTCAGGAATGAATAATGATTTTTATATGTTTAAAACCCCAAGTATCTTGCATACTCATACACTCCTCAAACTACCCGTCTGGCAAAGATGCTGTCTGACAGCTCGTCACATGTGAGCCCTCTCGCCCGCTACCTTCCCTGAAGCATTCTGTTCAAATGGGTCAGCTGACTGGAGACAAGCTTCCATACTGTTAACTTACACTGCTGATATGCAGGCAACTCATCCATCACTAGGGTGGCTGCTTTATAAAATTAAAATTAAAAAAACCGTACCCTATCGCAAAAAGTTATCAGACATCTTTCTGTTTTATACCTGTCGTCTTGTCAAATTATATATCAGTGTAGCGGCAAGAAACGTGCTCTTATGCTCTCAACATAAGCTAGGAGAGCTTTCTACTTCTCCTGACCTCTAAGTGAAAAAACGACAAAAGGTTGAGCTCTACCGTAGGTTAACAGAGGGAGGAACAATGTGGGTTTCATTGAAAGGCAGGCTGCACCGCGTGGTGGTAACGTTTCAGGAAAAAACACACCTGCCTTGACATTAATTCCTCCTGTGATGTTAATGAAAGTTTAGTTTATATAGCGCCTTTAAGAGTTCCACCTCAAAGCGCCTTACAGTAGGTGTAAAAAAAAGGACGAAAGACAGTTGTAGGGGATAGCAAGTTGCAAAAATAACAATGTAAGAAAGAGCAGTTAGCGGTGTAGCAGAAGATACGTGGTCATGAGAAAGCCAAGACAACACAGACACTAATTAAATAAAAGCCTTTCCGGGAAAGTCAGTGATAGCAGGACCTAGCGCTTGCGAATTCAGGTTCAGCCTTGCAATTCGCTTTCAGACTTTTCTCTCTCTATTCACAACGCGACAAAATCATGCTGCCGACGACATTCTCCGAATGCTTTCTTCCATCGTTTCGCGAAAAGACAAAACTGCGCTGCAGGTATCAAAAATATGTTTTCTCTCTCTCTCTCCTGGGTGTTCCCAGGGCAGCGAAGTGCATCCCGGTCTTCATCGGTGTGATTTGTTCTGTCAGACTGTACAGTGAGGCGCATCGCTCTACCCACGCACCTCTGGGGCTGCAAGGGAAATCTCACACGCCCCTTTATCGCCCACGCCACGCCGCAGATGAGAAGCCTCAGAGGACCGCAGACAGGCAGGGGGGCAATTATTGTGCTCACGGGCCTCTTGTTGAGCCTTCGTCCTCCGTGAAAATCCCCACACACACTTAAAACACGTCCTCACAACTCCCGATGTAGTGTCGACATGCAAAAACAACGCGAAGTCTTCTACCGTACACATTCCGGCCTCTGTGGTCTTCAAAGTCGGTGAGGGTCTAAGAGCTCATAACGAGGGGGGCAAATCGCGTGTGTGTTACCGTCATAAAAGAGAAGTAGTTGTGTCTGACGGCGTGACAACGCCAGACTGCCTTCTGTCGTCACTGCTTGAGACAGGCTTGGCCAGTACTGTCCACTTGTTAGCTCGCCCTTCAGTTTCCACCAGCCCCGATCCCGTTACCCCAAAATAGTCTGTTCCTCCAATTCACCCCCTATTTATTTTATTTCAGGCGTCACAAAGCAGCTATGAGGCAGAGCGACGCTGCCTGATCTTGACGATATATATTCCCCATAAGTGACCGAGTTATGTGCTAAAGAACTGAAATCCGGTGATGTAGGATTGAACATTTTGATGATGCACAGCAGGGTTCAAGGTTCAGACGCCGGCTTATTCACGCGAAAGCAGTAAACCTGGAAATCTGTCAATCATTTATTAGAATCATGACGGGTCTTCTTTTTTAAGATCTACAGCTTTGAGGGACTGCTTTCGGTGTGTGTGTTTCTTGGGGAAAAAAATAAACAATTCCTCTGGGTGTAGCACCTGAGACAAAAATATCAGTGCGTGTTTTCTTGCGCTTTAGGCGCACACTTTGGGAAACGTCCCCGGAGCAGCGGGGGCAGACGAGATGGGGCCTCCAAGCACCTCTCCCCAGCCCGATCCACCCTGCACATCTGGACACGTTCTGCACGGCCGGCCAGCCAGAGGCAGGACAGCGCGCCACATCTGCAGGGCACATGCGCTCTCTCAGCCGGCTCGTTCCCGACCAGTCCTTACAATGACAATCCATGAGGACACCAAAAGACCATCGCCTCGCCTAACAGAGCAGCCAGACACAGCCACTGTAATATATATATAAATAAAACTATCACGTTATGTTATGCAAGTGGTGCAGTTGTTAAAGCTCTCGGCAATAACTTGGGTTTGATTTACAGAAGAACGCTTTGTACTGTATATTGCGCGTTCGTACTACGGCCGAACGGCACTCAAACCGACGTGGTGATATAAACACAGTGTACATCTGTGAGGGCACGAAAGGGACGTCATGCTTCGCAACGCAGGAGCAAGGAGCAGGAGGTTTGCTTGCATCTGTGAAATAGGTGTCAAAATGTTGTTGTTCTCGTTCTTGCTTTCACGATTGTCATACGAAGCCATTCAAATTGAACGTTTTTTCATCATTCAATTGGGCGCTAACTCGCCCTTTCCCCAGGATAAAGGTAATAGGATTCTGAAACAGAACATTGTCCCCCGTGCAAAATTAAACAGGATAAAGGGGTTGTATATACTGTATATGTAGCCTGGACGTTTTATGTTTAAAGTTCGCAATTAAGTTTACTTAGTAAGCTGTGGTATACAGGAAGAGTCAGTATTAATGTTGGGGAAATACTTTTGTAATCTCAGAGGAACTGTATTTGCTGACATGGCGAGAAAAGACAACGAAAGGTTTCTGCTGTCCAGGGTTAAATGGTAGAATAGTGATCATTAAACAGAGGTCAGCAGTGCTCGGTGTACAAACACTACTTATTAATGAACTCCGGTTCTGTAAACAATTCTACTGCAGCTACATACTGTAACTAGGGGATGTTTTAGCAGAGAACAGTTGTGTTTTAACTTCTGAAAGAAAGTTATTTTTTTTAAAAAAACCTCGTACACTAAACCCCTCGCGTGTTCCAGCTCCCGAGCACCGATAATAATCAAGTCACCGCTGATCGCCATCAAAACGTGTCAACCAGCACCGGCACACACAAAGGAAACCGAGCCATTACACGATAACGACAATGCAAATGACGCTGAGGATCTTACCATGATCTTAACAAACAGCCCCGACAGTTGCGTCCTCCTCGCCTTCGGAGGCTCAGTCCCGACGATCCCGGTGCGGCTCTGCTTTACCAGCATGCCGACCGTGCCGATGGAGACGCAGAGGAGGGCGAAGGACAGGTAGGCGAGGAGCCGGAGCAGCACCGGGGTGAGGACGAACCCCCCGCCGGCGGAGTGGACGAGCGCCGCGGCGGCGAGACCGAGCGCCGCGCCGGGCAGGAGGAGCCGGGCAGGACGTGGAGACGCGTCGGGGCTGCCGCCGCCACTGCTGCTGCTGCTGCCATCAGGATGCATGCTGCCTTAACTGACATTTCCCCGAAAACGACACGAAGAGGGACCTCGACCTTCTCGCGTTTGACTGTTCCTCACTCATAACACGCAGCGCGATCCGGGCACGGCGATGGGACCGGGAGAGCGGCGCCGCTTACGACCAGGTGATCCGGGGAAAAACCAGTCCGACCCCGTCTGCGTAAACTCGGAGTTGCATTTTAGGACGGGCAAGCCTGTCACTATTCATGGGAAATAAAACCCTTTTTTTTTGTCTTTGTTAAATACCCGTAACTAGCTCTGCCTTGGAAATACGAGCGCTGCGAGCGATAACCAGGTGGAAATTGACAGTATCAGCCAGGTAATGGTGTTCTCCTGCTATGCTATGCTATGCTTAAACAACGACCACCCGCTGAAACGCTGATTTCATCCTTTTTTTCTTTTCTTTTTAATCTCTCTCGGTCTGTCATGAGGCAGCGCTGAAGTCGTTCACGACGGGGGAAAAAACGCCTAACCTGAACTGTCTAACGTCCACAGGCACAGCGAGCGACACCCATGTTTGGGTAAAACCATAATGAGCACCTTTTTCAATCCCGGCGTTTCCTGTTTCATTTCTTCTTAGTCCAACCTATTCACCAATCCGAGAGGAAACAAATGCGAAAATGCGCGTAAGAGCTGCGGGCCAATCGCACCGTGTGCCTCATCCTACAACCGCCTGCTCCAGTCCTATAGAAATCCGCAGCCTGCCCCCGGACTTCAAAATGTTGTTTCCTCCCCCATTGTCGTCCGTGTGCCTCCTCGCAGGCTTGGGACGGCGTCGCCCTTTAAGAAACGGTAACCTAGTCACGGCCCCTAGGTGTCTGTAAATGCAGAAACCTGTGGAAATTAAGACCGGCGGAGCGGTGTGTGTGTGTAGAGAAAGCGAAATGCTCCGTTCTTGACGTTGCAAGCCTGCCCTTTGAAAGAAAACGGCTCGGGAGAGTAATAAGCGCCTGGAATTATTTAATAAAGCGACATGGGGGGGTGTTGAACGGTCACACTCTTTTTATATAAGGCTTGGTACACTATGCAGTGACATTCCAGCTTACAATAACGATGCAACTTTCCTTTTCCCCGAACCATCAGGCGTGATCCATCTCGTACGACCATGTGCACCCAAAACTCAGACACAGTATATACATTCTGTGTTAGGATTACATTGCATTATAAATAAATAAAAAAAACAAAGCAAAAAAAACCAAACAAACCCTGTGCGTCTTTGGGACGACATGGAAATATTTGACCTTTTTCTGTTTTATATTAAGAATTTTTAACTCTCTGGAACTGCTGGGTTGTCTTTTTAGTATTTGTGTGTGTGTTTTATTTTTGGTTTGTAGTTAAAAAATCCCCTGGCGTTACAGATGATATCGGCATTACTTTTAACCATTAACCAGGTGGATGCTGCACACTGGTGGTGGTGGAGGGGAGACCCCATTACCTGTAAAGCGCTTTGAGTGGAGTGTCCAGAAAAGCGCTATATAAGTGTGAGCAATTATTATTATTATTATTATTATTATTATTATTATTATTATTTACAACAAGTAAGCAGCATTATTTCCAAGGGATCCCCACTCCCTATGTAAAACCGCGTCCGTACCTGTGCCAGACTCCGGCCGGGCGGCGCCACCTGCTGGAAGCGCCGCGGAGGTTGTCAGGAAGTGACGTTGGTTAGTAACAGCGGCTGTCCCTACCTACCTTTTTTTTGTGCTTGTGTGCAAAAGAGGGAGAGGGATTTGCGCGTCAGGGCATGGTTAAAAAAAAAAACACGCATTGAAGAGGTTTGGTCCAGTTTTCGCTGCAGTGACCCTACCGCTTGTGGTTTTTGCTGCCTCCTCTCCTTTTTTTTGGGGGGGAGCAGGGAGATTGGGCCTGGCAGCGCCGGGACGCCGTGTCGCTCTCGGGCTGCACGATTTGTAGGAGCAAAGCGATTGAGACGGGTAGGTGAGCCGAGCCGAGCCGAGCCGCTACTGCACAAGGTCCGAGGCGTCACACTCCACAGAAACGGGTTTATTATGGCGTATGCCGGTGCTCGGGGGTGTTGGCGTGGGGATAGCTGTCACCGCCTGTGTTGGGCGATGCGTGTTCCGCCATAAAACATCCAGAAAGTGCAGGAAAACCCAACTGCACGGCTGCAGACCGGCCGTGGGGATGAACGAGATCCGGAATGTGCAGTTATATTAGTCAACAGCCTGGGAGCTGTCTCCTTTCGTTTTCTGTATTTTAAGCCACCTATCTTTACAGAATGAACCACGGTTGGGTTTTTTTAAATGCTTTCTTTTTTTTTTCACCTCAAGACTTTTGATCGTCTTGTGCTCTCCCGTGACGTGACGTGACGTTTCTGCAGTCGAGCGGTCGTGAATGTCGGGGGGTCGTAACTGCAAAACGGGCCGACCTGCTCGTTAGTAACGCAGCCAATGACGAGAAACGCAGACGATGAGCTCGGCGCGGTTGGATTTCCTCCCCCCATCGAAACTCTTGCCTTGTCCGAGGTTTACAAACGAGAGGCGGGCACGTCGTTGCGTGTATTGCTCAGACCGTGTGAACGGGGCTGCCTGTCACCTTCTCCGTCTCTTGAGTGAAGGCGCTCACAGCCCGATGTCATTGCGGCCGAGTCGCTGTTGCAGCTGCTGGCCGCTCAGATCGTGCAACCAAGACGAAGCGGTGCATGACTGTAAAGGTGAAATGCCTTGATTAAAAAAAAAAACCAACAACTTCGCTTTCACACGTGTTGTGCAAAGGCCAGACTCGAACCACCAAGCTGAGCGGTAGGGTGGGGGAGCTGCGAGGGACATCTGACCCGTGTGCCCGGCTGGGGTGCCAGTGGTGGCAGCACTTCAGCAGGGGGGGAACACGGCGTTGCGTGATGTCCGTCTCCTTGGCTCTCTGGCCCTCCCCGACAGACAGTCATGTAAACTGTTCCTTCCCTCTGGCTAACGCCTCTGCGATCGTCAGTGCTGGGCTGATTGAAGCTCAGCTCCTGTGTCGTTGCCGCGACGAATCACGTACTGTACAGGACACGGGCGGCGAGGTATTTTTATCCCGGCGGCGTGAGGCACTGCGCCTGGACCACTTTCCTTTTTCTCTTCCGCAATCCGCGTCGGGCTGCCTGCTGCTGGCTTGGTCCTGCTGCTGTAGGAGTCGTAGGTGTTAGATAGATACTTAATCGAGCCCGTGAGGGAAATTGTAGAATTTTTTTTTTGTCTCCAAAGCACCAGAATTATATACAGGATAAACGGCGCAAACAAAAAGAGGAGAAGGCAGGCCATTACGGTCAGTCCGTGTGTAACGAATGTGCTGAAGCAGTGTGATACCAGGACAGTAACGCAGTCATGTCTTCCCTAGGTTTCTGAAGGCCGAAGGGCAGAGCGAGGGCCCGGTCATGTACAGCCCCAAGGACTTGGAGGGGGAGGTGGACCACTCCTTCTTCGACAGCGACTTCGAAGAACCCGGCGGGGACGGGGGCGTCCGCAGGGACGAGGAGGAGCCTCCGGAGGCCCGGGCTCCAGGAAGACCGGGATCGGCCCCGGGCAGAGAGAGCTCCTCCGAGGAAGAGAGGGGGAGGAGCGCAGGTTCCCCGTCCGGCGCCTCCTCTCCGCTCTCCTGCGGCGCCGGGTCCGAGCCGGAGAGAGCCCCCGGGAGCCGGCTAACGGTCCCTGTCCTGGCCAGGATCGCGAGCGTGTCCTCAGGCGAGGGAGAGGACGAGGGCGGCTCCAGCAGGAGCGAGGGGGACAGCGAGGAAGAGGGGCCGGAGCCGGCGCCCCCTCGGTGCCGGTCGGCCCACCACGGGGGCCCGAAGAAGGCCAGCGGAAAGTTCCGGACCCACAGCCCGTCCCCGTCCTCCTCCTCCTCCTCTGAGTCGGAGGGCTCGAGCAGCGAGTCAGGGGGCCGCGCCCACGGGCCCCCCCCGCGGCGGAGGCCCCCAGGGCTGCTGACGGTGTCGTCGCCCAGGCGCCGCGCGAAGCTGGGTGTGACCAGCGGGAAGGAGAGGCTCCGGCTGCCGGAGGAGTCAGAAGACACCGTTACGGACGTGACTCCCTTGTCCACCCCGGATATCAGCCCCGTCCAGTCCTTCGATCTGGCCCTGGAGAAGAAAGGGGCCGGGAGGCAGGAGAACCTGAGCCTGGATCTCTGTGGGGAGCTGGGAGATCTGGGCTCTGAACAAGAAGGTGAGAGGAGCTTCCCAAAGACAGGCCGAGCCTCGCTAGAGTCTGATGTGGGTGCTAGGCATGGCCACAAGGTCTTAAATGATGCCATGGATCTTAATCGGCTTCTTAAAGGTACTTTTCTGTGTTTTGTTGTTTCCCCAGTCCTCAAATTTGAAATTGCAGTCGCTTGGCCTTGATGTGTGTCTTGGTTTATTTGTTATTGGGTCCTCAGATCTGGAAAACGAATCAATACCTCTTGATCTCCAGTAGGCAGTTCCTTAGACACCTGACTCAAGCTTTTTTGTTCAGTTTGTTTATTGGTTTTTCAGGGAAAAGAATATTACACGGTACCGTATACGATAATGAACAGGTGGGAACAGTCGTTCAGACCTCTTTAAAAAGGTTGCTTGCACATTGCTGGGAAGGAACAAGTAAGGTTTATTCCGTGCTAAAAGGAGAAGAAACGCAGCGTTTCGGCTGTGGAGCCTTCTCTTTTTCTCTTTCTCACACCTGAAGAAGGCTCCACAGCCGAAACGTTGTGTTTTTCTTCTCTTTTCAGTGTGGGATAAAGCTTTACTTGTTCCTTTGCAGCCTATGCATGCTGACGCAGCTCTCTACGTGATGTCTGGAAACACGGTCTTGTTCGTCCTGTACCAGTGAACCAGCCAGAAGCTCCCCCTTAGGATGTTGGTGATCTTCACCGCTTGAGTGCTGATTATTTTAGAAGATGTGCTGACAGGACTGGCACTGAGACTCGCGCCCGTGCCCTGTTGACTGGGCGAGGGGGGGGGGTTTCTCCGCGCCCTGGCACACAGCTGGTGGGAGAAGCCAGCGAGGGCTCTCTGGGCTCTGCAGTGCAAGGAGCCCTGCAGCCACCAGGACGTTTGCAGTGCTGTCGGCGAGCACCGCCATTCCAGCACCTTCTCCAGCCAGCACTGAACCGATCCGGCCAGCCCGAGTGAGGCTGTGCAGTGGTCTGGGGAGATGAGAGGGAGCTGCAGTCTCTGTTTCTCAGACCAGCTATTAAACCCCGGGTAACAAAATAAATTCGTTGAGGGTATTGCAAAATGTTACAAACTCCCAGATCAGTACAAGGTCGTGAACCTTTTGAAAATCCTGTATGATTGCCATTGTTGTTGCAGTCTGCTGGCCTCTTCGGGGGGGGCGTGCGAGAGTTTGCACGGATTGCGACATGATGCGGCCCTTCCTGCTCGCTAGTCACTCTGATGATTGACGTAGCGTGATGTACGAGCGAATAAATGCAGGTCGTGCAGCAGGCGTTTCACTGCAGAAACGTTCCAATGTGATCTGCGTGCCGAGTTAACGAGCAGTATTTGTCAGTAAAACTGTCGGAAATCGAAAGGAGTATTTCTATTGGATTAAAAGAGATGTGTTCACGAGCCTGTTTGCTTACAATGTCATAGGGCCGCATCACAGCGCAGGAAGTTTTGTTGCCTCATTCTGATATCGCAGAACATGGCGCTGCGCAAGCCTGGAAGTTTTGACTATTTTGTGATGTAAATTGGAGGTTTTACAAGTAACTGCGTACATTTTACATTTACTGTGGTTTGGAATGCACTCATCTAACCCCAAAATATAAAAGCAGTGTTGCAGTTCCCCTTGAAAAACACAAAATGGCTTCTGGGTGGTTTCAGTTTGCAGTTAGTGATTGATTCTTAATGATAAATCTACATGTACGAATATCCATCTGTGCATTCTATACCCTGACTTTCATTGCGGTTCTCCGGTCTTTTCCGGGAAGCTTTTATGAGCCTCGAGAGGAAGATGGAGAGGAGTCTGGTGATTGATTGTCCTCCCGGACAGCCCCGAAGGAACTTCTCCTTCAGCAGCGAGGAGGTGCGGCGCATCGACGGGGAGAACCAGAGGCTGCTGAGGGAGCTGTCCAGGCAGGCGCTGAAGCCCAGGGGCAGAAACGGCCCCACCAGGAAACCGGCCAGCCCCCCCGGGAAGCTGTACCACAGCGCCCTCAACAGGCAGCGCGAGCAGCAGCGCATTGAGAGGGAGAACATGGTGAGGCGCGGGCTGCCCCCGAGGGCGCCCTTTTTTTTGGTCTCAGGACCTCCGAGTGTGCCTGCTCTCTTCGTGTTCGTTTTGTCCAGGTGCTGCGCTTTGCTCTCACTGGGTCAGTTAGTTTCCCTGTGTTTGCGCTCCCCCGGGATTGAGGGGTGCCCAGTCTGGAATGTGCTCCTGCCACGAACCTGTGTTTCCAGGCGGCCATGCCCCTTACCTGGAATAAGCCACTTTGAGGAAACTGGATATTGGAGGTCAGAGGTGGCCACGCACAGTATCAAGTTCCCTTCACCCACCTATGACCCATACACAGTGCCCTTCTCATTCTGGTGCCTCTGTCTCTAGGATTACTTGGTAGGTGTGTGTCTCCTCTGGAGGTTTAGACCTCCATGTCCTTTATGAGTGTAAGTGAATGGTTGTGCTGTGGCAGTATATATCATAGCAAGTACAGTGTTGTTATCGACAGGTTTCGAGAGTATCCCTACGAAGCAGGTCACGCAGCGTTTCGCAAGTCATGCACTGGGTTTTGCACAGTGTTGACGGGAAAATCGCTATTCCAGAGGCATTACATGAAGTTTGAGTGTGAAACGGAATCGAAACAAATTAGACACAAATGTATATTAAAAATCGAGCCGAGTTGCAATTCTGCAGACCTGCTGTTAACTCTGCAGCGCACTACTTAGAAGATTTAGGAGACATGATCCGAGTGTGTTCGGTTATTTTGCATTTGTGGCAGCTTGCTAATGTTGCTTGTTCCTCAGCTCCAATAGTATTGAAAAGTCTTTATTCGTTTAACAGGTGCATAAGTAAAGTCTTCTTGAAGTGGTCCAGAGCTCCGTGAGAGCACTGTTTGTGTTGCTACATTTATCCATTTCTGAGTTGCTATAGTAGCTAATGATACTTTGCCAAGAAGTAATTACAGGTTGTACATATTGCGAGTGGCCCTCAAGTGTAACTTGTTTGTTTTGGGTTTTTTTTATGTTGCCATATGACTTCATCCAGACTCTTTGAAATGAGACAGAATTTGTAGAACTGCCCTTACGCAGAATGGAAATAATATGAACGTTAAGCTTTGAAGGTTTCCGAAAGAACTATTGCTTCTTAATTACCGTGTGCAGTAACCTTAACTCTGATCATTTGTTCACTCTTTCTTCCATTGAGCAGTGGTCTGCTCAGTATTCCCAATGAGTGTCACCCTACTTCCTGAGCAAGGCCCTTAAACCCAAGCTTCTCTCCCTGTCTTTGTGTTTCATGGAGAGCAGGCTGGATATGTGAAAAGGCCAAATCTTTTTTTTTTCCTTCATATGCTGTATAACTGTTGAACTGTTCCAAGAGGAAGAGTTTAATTTAGGCCAGCAGGTGGAGCTGCAGATCTGCTCTGTCAGTGGCTGCGCTTGGAAAGCTGGAGAAGAGCAGTGTTACTTGTAGGCTCTATTTGAGGTCACTAGTCAGTGCTTTAACATTATTATTGTTCTGTATTGTCCAACACCTGCTGTATGCTGAAATGCTTTATGATATATGTACACAGCCACATACAATACATATGGCATTACAGACATTTCCAGTAAATTAACAATAGCTTATTTAACAGGTGTTTATAAACTTATTAATATAATATTAAATATTATTGGGCAAACTATTGATATCTACCTGGCATTTTTGGAGACAATACACCCAATGCGACCTGATGACATCTTGTACTGATGTAATATGTGTAATAAAATGTCTGATATACAGTAGTTATCTATCTTAGAATTTGACACGGATGTGCAATCCAAATCTGAATTCTGGTTTCTTTTCTCAGTGCAAGAGGAATGTTGTGGGAATTTGGCCTGTTTCTTACTGAGTCATTATTTGGGGGGTGGGGAAAAGGTCCTTTTTTTATTGACAAAATAGCTTTCCAATGGGAGAGGTTGAACGATCTCATCGATATGAAAATATCTGACTGAACACAAAGTCTTGCCCTCAATTTGGCAGTCAAACAGTAAGAAGTAGCAGACGTCCTTCATGTAGATAGACATTCAGCTTAGCCTATACTTTCTCTTATCGCCTGAGGGGACCTGCCTCTGTGCTTCATACTCTGCACGTGAGTTTAGATAAGTCCTGTTTAAAAACTGAGATGCCCTCTCCTGTGAGGTGTCTATCTTTTCTTGATGTGAGCACATCTGCTAATTCTATATTAAAACAGTTGATCCAGTAACCTAGACCCTGTGACGGGAGACATTAAACCATGTAGAGCTGTTTGATATATTGGAATAAATTGTTAGAATTGGGGAAAAATGTGTCGCTTGTTGGGGCTGGCTATGAACATGGAGTATGCTGTATGTTTTCTGTGTCTGTGGTCTGTGTCACAGAGGGTTTTACTAAACCCGAACCCCCAGTTCTCATTCATTTAGCAGGACTGTTAAAGCCACACGAGCGAGCTCAATCGGTAGAAGAACGTAACTAGAGGAAGTTCAGAGCAGTGAAAGTAGAGAAGGCTCAGCAGAAATAGATGACAACAGGTGCTCAGAGCACAGCAGTCAGCTGACAGCACAGGGCCACAGCCCTCGTTGAACCTCAGAGATCCTGCCGTTGCGTGCCAAACTTCAATGACAAAGAAATAAAGCATTAGATGTTTTATGTACTGCTTCTAAGCAATATTATTATAAATGGCCTGATCTGTTGGGGTTTTTTTACATCTGCCTTGGTAGCAGCGAGCTCCTCAGTTCATTCCGTGTGTGAAATGGTCTGGAGACTGTTCTGCACTTGATCTCTAAACTTAGGACAGGGTAACCAAATACTGTCTGTGATCGTTTTTATTCTCTGGTCCCAAGTGGAAGCGTTTTTTAGTTCCCGAGGCTTGCAGTGGGGGGCTGTGGAACTGATGGCTTGTGAAGTTCAGTCCTTCCGTAGGATTGTGCGTGTTTCATGATTTCAGACACGTCCGGATCGCTGTGAGTCAATCGTCTCAAACAGCGGCAGCCACGCATCTGCGGAAGGGGCCGTCAACACCGACATGAAGTCACTTTAATTTTCCACCACTGCAGTCACCTTGCCTTTTAATCCCTACCCTGTCCCACACAAAAAACACAGGCAATCACCAAAGTAGTTAGAGACAAGAAAGGTCGCAGACAACTGCCCATTCGGCCTGACGTGCTTATTGGCTAGCTGGACACTCACTGATGGCAGGGTCCGAGGGTCTTGTCCAGCTGCTCGTCTCCCTGCTCTTCGCTCTGCGGGGTGTTTGTCTGCTGTGAGCCTGGGCATGTCAGCAGCTTTGGGGGTTCAGCACTTGGTCGCTGTTGGATGAGCTCTTTGTCCTCGCAGGGCTCCCTCTGGAAACGGTGCCCGTCTTGCAGAGTACGTGCTGCACACAGAGACGGACCGCAGTGTGCTGGGCTCCCCTCCCCTGTGCCAGTCCCCTGCACTGCCCAGATCCCACCCAGCCCCAGCAGTCCTGCACACGGCAGTCCAAGATGGGAGCGTGCGAACAAGTGAAAATACCGGGGTGATTCATCAAGTTGCTCGAGTCCTTGAGATGATTTTAATAAATAAAACGATCTTTGTGGTATTCCAGCGCTGGCGTCGGCCGTGTGCACGAGTGTGATGTTCCCGCTCTGTGATCATTTAAAGTTACATCCAGAAACATCTGACTGCTGATCGCGTTTACTTTTTGGGGGTTATAATCGTAAAAATCTCATGTAGCTGCAGTTGAACATGTGTAACTTCCCACCCCAAAATAGACACACTTCATCCTTACATTTAACACAGTTATAGTGTGTGAGTAGGGACATTCCTGATTGTGAAGAACGGCCTGTTGCCCGCCTCAGACTTCGAGGTGTTCACATGAGGGGAGGTAGGCCCCCTCACAAGCCTTAACATTACCGAGCGAGGTCTTTATAATGAAACGATTATGCAATTCTGCTCTCTGGACACCGTGTGATCGAGTGTTGCGCATGCCGGTGATGTGACATTTGGAGACTGTGCTTACATTTCACATTTAGGAATGGTACAACTTTATCCCTCGGCTATTTTGGGCTGGAGTGCTTCCTAGGGCTTCTGCTTACCCAGGTATTTCCATTTGACGCTGAGCAGATCAGTCCTAATCCTGCTCCCTGTGACGCCTTGAGTAGCAGCCAGCTATTATTTTAACACTTAAAACGGGACAGGTTTTATCTAACCTTTATTATCTCTTATATGACGGCACGACAGCTTCAGCTGGTGTTCATATGACATTCATCCATATCTCCTACAGAGTGGATGGAGCTTGATGTACTTTCCTTGACATCATTTTGAGATTTGATTGCCAAACTTCAAGTATCTGATTTTATTTTTCCAGCTTCAATATGTTCAGTTTTTTGTGTTTATATATACTGAACGGAAGAGTTGAATAAGCTTATGCCCATGAAAGCGAAACACTGACAAATAACACATTTTGCACCGAGCTTTGAGATGTTTGGAGCCTGCTTGGATGTTTGACCATCCTTTTGAAAGCACGTTTAGCTTAACTGTGGAATATGTTTCAGATTTCCCCTCCTGTAAAAATGACTTTTTTCACAATGGCATTTGTACAAGAGAGGCATGTGATTAAAAAGCGGCTCCTGAGAGCCTGCGGAGAGGCTCCAGTATGACTTTACTGTGGCAAGGTCATGGCAGTAGGCCACAGAGCGCCTGTGAATGGAGCAGAGTTCAGTGCAGGCTTTTCCTCAGTGGTCCACAGCCAAACGCAGGCGCTTCAAAGATCAACTTACGGTAGCCATGTAGAACCTTAAGGTTGTCATAGAATGAGCGAGAGAAGTGAGCATAAATAGTTGTACCAATTATTAAGCTTGGTGGTGTGTGTTTATTTTCATGAGTCCATAGAAGTGTAAGGAGCAATAGAAAACCTTGTAAAATATATAAACTTCCACCTGACAGGGTGTTCGGAAATGGTTGTATAATTATCAAGTAATTACAGACTCTTAATTAGTGAATTACATTGTTGGAGATGGCCGATAATGTTTGTGACTATAATGAGTATATATGCTAGTTTGTTTTTAGTGTCGCCAAGCAGATCCATATCATTCAGCTCAGAACAGAAGGTGAAGATAGATGCAGTGCCATGTACCTACATTATTTGTATATGTTGTATACGTTCTGCAGATTTGCAGTGTTCTGCACAGCTGTGGAACAGTTCCCTGGCTTAAGCTAGGCATGAGATGCTTGAAGAAGTTGTTGATTTTGCTGAATGTAAAAAAAAAACTCCCTCGTCTGTTTTTAGGCGTTCCTGAAAAGACTGGAGTCCGTTAAGCCCACCGTGGGGATGAAGAGATCCGAGCAGCTGGCAGACTACCAGCGGCAGACCAGATACCTGGGTACAGGGTTGTCCACCAGATTTGACAGGTCCCCCAGCAGCAGGGCAGCCTCCTCAGGTAAGCTCACTAATCAAGACTGGAGCAAGATGTTGCTGAGGGGAGCATCCATAGTTACTGCAACATTCCCAGTCCCAGACCAGTTAAAAAAATTAGAATATACAGTGTCACTCAATATCATGTTATACCGGTTGTGCATGCAAAGACTTATGTTAAAGACCTAGGTTTTTGTGCTAATTTTATTAAATTTTTGGAGGCCGGGAATTCTTTGAATTATGCGGGATCTCACCAGTGGGGCTCGGACTGTTTCAGATCATGTTCGATCACTTTACGCCATTCATATTTTTTTCTGGACTAAGAGCTGGACACTGTGTCTAAAGCCATACCTAACCAGAACTGGAAATGTCTTCTCATTGTGAACTGAAAATGCACATAGCATAGCAGTTGAGTTCCTGTTCAGTTACACCCATCCCTTGATTTCTGAACACCCAGATTAAGAAGTTCCGCTGTAAAGAAGCTGCCACTTCTATAACTTCTTTTGTATACTTACAAAGAGATTTTCAACAAAGGGGTGTTTTTCATCGCTGAATGGAAGATGCTATCCTCACAGCCTGACCTCTCACAACACAGGTCCTCAGTGTGTCTGCACTCTTAGAGCTGTTATACATTTTATCTTGTTTATCTTAACTGCTACACTAGCGCCAATATTGTAACCATCATGAACAAGACACCATGTTCTTACTTTGATTCGTGATTCTGCGATGCTGGTTGATTTTCGAAACCTCGAGAATTAAGTTACTGAGGATTTAACATGTGAAGTCGTTGAAATTTCCTTTTTTTGGTTTGCAACTTCTCACCTTGCTAACAGTTTTCCGGGAACCAAATACGTTCATCAATTGACAGATGAGTGTTTGTTTTTTTTTTACTGCAGCTGTGTAAAGGAACTTCTGCTGCCTTAGTCATGTGTGAAAGCCTGTGCAAACAGACCATTCTCTGGGCTGAGTTTGCTGGTCTTTTTCTGTGCTGTAGGCAAGCCCTCAAGACCATGCAGTGCCTCGGGTGCTCGCGGTACCAGACCAGCCTCCACCATGTCCAGATCCAGCAGGGCTGCTGAGCCCAGGACAGCTTGGTCCTAATCCCTGCTCCGTACCTCCGTGCTGTTCGCCGCATGCTGAACACGGCTCGTATCCTGCAGTACATCACGCAAGTCTCGTTGAGCTTCGGTCAAAGTGGACAATGCAGTATCGGAACTGCTCAGACCTTGAAAATATCCTTATCGAGCGCAGAACAAATAGGCTATCGATATTTTGGTAAGAGTTGAGCAGTAAATGTTGTGTTTGTGTGAGGTAGTGTGACATCTGTGAGGAGATTTGTAAATCCGTGGACCAAAATTGTAATCCACTGAATACGTCTTAATTTCTAATTTCTAACTCTTGTGGCAGAAGATTTATATTTTATATTGTGGCCAAAATGTATTGTTACTGTTTGTCAATAAAGCTTCTTGTTACATAAAGTTTCTATTTCTTAGCTTTTAAAAGAAGCAACCGACTCTTGTTTATGTACTGTACATACAAATAATGATATTAAAAAAAAAAACTGAAAATAGTTTGGATCCTAAATTAACTGGATGTTTACATCTCTCTTCTTTACATGGACTGTGCAGGAAAACATTTTGTGGGTTTTAGCTTAGTTGTAATACTCACTGAATACCTTCTGTGTAGCAGGGGTTTTCAGCCTGTTTCAGCTAAGGCAAACCCTATTGCACCCTCTCCATTAGGCCAACCCCAGTTTAAATATAAAATCAAATTCTAGTTGATAAATAATGCTCATCACGCACATCATGTAGGTCTGCTTCTCACACATTAAGAGGTATTAAGAAAGAAAAAAATGCTGTTTCTTCATGCATGGATTTTCATGCCTCAGCAGTTTGACGACGTGCTGCTGGATGAAGTCCACTAGGAGTGTTGATCATAAACATCCCCAAACTGCTGGATGGGGTTTGAGGATCAGTAGGGATCCAAATAAAAAACCATAGCATGTTCTTGAAATGATCTGAGCTGTGGTGATAAGCGCAGCTCATTCATAAATGTATAATTAAAGATTCTGGAGATCAGAGGGTGACTGGATCGTGGCCACTCAGTGTAAGTACGGTTGAAATTTGATTTTGTGCAGAACTAGAGGCACCTAGAAAGGCATTGCATTACTTGAAAGCAACAAGTAAATATACTTGAAATTATAAGAGGAAAACCAAGCCCATCACTGTAAAGGACAATTGCATTATGAACTATCTGTTTTGTTCACTACCCCAAAAACGGTTGGTTTACGAACATCCCACATACTGTAGCAATAAAGTAAAATATATTCCGCAGCTGTACAAGACGTATTGAAACACGTCTTCGTTCAAAAAGCAAACTGGGTCCATGTCTGTTTTACCAATACGAAGTGCTCGCCCACCCCTTCCCAGAGCCCAGGGCAAATCCTGAATGATGACCCGGAGAAAACAGTTCAGACAGCCGGGCACAGCAGCCTTTTAATCTCATAGTAAAAGAACACATTGGATTGTCAGCCCCATTTGGAAAAAAAAAAAGAAAGATAAATACCGCTGTAAAAAAATCGGTATAAAATAAATGAATACAGTAGGATTTTAAGACATTCTGTGCTGTCTTTTCTTTTCCAAATGGAAATTCACTTTCTGTGTTTAGCTCAGAAACATCCAGGACTGAAGCACCCATATTGCACAGAATTTCGCGGTGATATGTTCAGACTGGAAGAGACGTTGGATCTATTACCTACATGCCTCTACCTGTTGTGCTACCCCAGCTTTGCCACCTGGATCTCGTCTCTGTGTGGTTGGTGCAGAGAATGAACACCATCCTCTTCCTCCTCCTCAAGGTCGCTGCCCTTTAAATCAGTTTCAGCACAGCACGACACAACTGAACTTCGGTGCAACTGCATTTAATACTTAGACAACTTTCTTAATTTCATCGTACAGTACTAATACGAAAGCACCACCCATGCCTCTCAAGACGTTCGACCAGGCACCCTTGAAGAATGCCTTGGGCCCTTCGTCTTTTGCAATCTTTTTCCAGCAGTCGATTGTGCCCTTGTACATAATGTCAGCTGTCGAAAAAAAAAAAAACAATACACTTGTGAATCAAATTATCCAGCATTTTAGCTAACCCCTTCATTCAAAGTTAAACTTAAAGCACAGAACCCCACATATAAATGAATTTTGGACCGTATGCAGCGAATTCTGCCTTTAAAATCAAATACAAAATCGAGGGTATGATGAGTCTATGGGTTTGCACAACAAACATATCTAATCATGATAAATCCGTTTTTTGTTACTTCTTGTAATAATTTATCGGTGTGCAGATCGCGTGTGACGTGATCCCTTTCATAAGTATTGCGTACGAGTGATCCCCATACTATCAAATAGCTCACCTCCTTTCCGGCCTGACTGCATCATCATACGACGTCTGACGGTGTCAAAGGGGTATGACACCAAGCCGGAAACAGCGGTGACGGTCTGCGCAATCATCCAGCTGATGATGATGTGCACGTTTTTGGGATCCGGCATCATGCCTGAAAACACAAGCACAATGAAAATGAGTCGACTGTAACAACATTTAACTTATGTTTCCAGTTGTACTCTAGATTGTAGAGTCCAAAAACAGCAAACTGGATGAAATGCCCCCTGAGTGATCCCAGCAGCCTTAAACGACGCGCAAATCCATTCATGCAACCCGCTTTCCCCCGTCTCTAACGTCGTGTGTTGGAAAGAAGCTCTCCCTTTAAACGCGGTGGCTTCTTCTAAGAGATACGGACTTTCCTTCTTCGTACAACTTGGCGTTACAGCGGTGCCATGAAACGTGTGGTTTTCCGGGAATATAAAGTCTGGGTAGGTGCATAAGCGCAGCAGCTACCGTTCCACCGCCAGGGGCTCACGGGAAAAGCACAGGCTTACATCGACACCCTCCTGTACTGTTTCCACTCGCTACTACCTTTAGCAGTGTCGTAGATGCCGAAGTACGCGGCTCGGTAAATGATGATTCCCTGGACTGAAACGTTGAACCCGAGGTACAGGCCCCGCAGGCCGTCGGACTTGAAGATCTTGGTGAGGCAGTTGCCCAGGCCGCTGAACTCCCTCTCGGTGACGCCCTTGCCCACGTCGGCGGCCAGCCGGGTCCGGGCGAAGTCCAGCGGGTACACGAAGCACAGCGAGGTGGCCCCGGCCGCGCCGCCGGACGCCAGGTTCCCGGCGAAGTAGCGCCAGAACTGCGTCCGCTTGTCGACGCCTCCGAGGAAGACCGTCTTGTACTTGTCCTTGAAGGCGAAGTTCAGGGCTTGCGTGGGGAAGTAGCGGATCACATTGGCCAGATTGCCTCTCCAGAAGGAGATAAAGCCCTGCTCTTTGGGGATCCGCACTACACAGTCCATGATCCCTTTGTACTGTTTCTCCACGGAGATCTGCTTGCTTGCGTGCTGGACCTGGAAGCAAACAATTAGATACAACAAAGATCAGTATCCCCTCCAGCAAACGGCACCTCCGGGCGTCAGGTCGATGAGGAAGATGAGGAGTCCCTAGGATGCTCTCCTAGGAGGTGTTTTCCCACAATGTCTGCCTCCGATGAGAAATCCTTCGAAACCATTCTGTTGAGTTGTTTTGTTTTGTTTAGTTTTTGGACTGTGAGGGGGCAGTTACGCACGGGCAGCTCCCCGCTCTTGAGCTCCCTAACACTTCACATATTACGTCATTCAAGGGCTGAGGTTGTGCGCGTAATGGCGAGGGGCTAATTTTAGGAGCGCACACGGAGCGAGCGAGTCTAAGTACTCGCAGGAGCTGGAACAAACCCTCACTGGGGTTTATCCGGCGTCAGAAGACTCGCTAAGAAGAATCCAATTTATGTCCGTAATTCCCTGACAAAACAGGACTTGCTCGGCAAATGCGTTAGGTGAAGCTCCCATCGAATGCACACATTTTGACCGACTTCCAAAAAGCGAAAACAAACCCGGCACCAAACAAACGCAGATAAAATACAGTTAACACAACGTCTGAATTAAGACGCGCGACAAAGACGCAGCACCATGGAGAGCGAACATATTATGGGACTGAAAAGGGACGATTCCTTAAGGAACGAGTAGGACACGTCTTTGGAATATTTATAGACATTATTCTGCAAGGCGTTCTTCACTTGTCTAGCAAGAAAGCCCACAGGAAAAAAAAAATGTTTGGTGTTCATGGGTTTCATTCATCGCTCCGCCGGACGGCTGAAGAGCGCTCGCTGCCGGTATTTAACGCCTGGACACCTGTTGAGCGCCGATGACCGCACACGCCTCCAGGAGAGCCGCCGAGCGCCGCGCTCACATGCCCCCTGCGCCCCCCAGCTCCAGCTCGGAGACTGCCTCACCTGCAGCAAGAGTTTCACCCTCTCGATGGGGGCGACGGCGGTCTTGGAGATGGCCGCCGCAATGCCGCCCGCCAGGAAGTCCTTCAGAAAGCTGACCACTGCGTCCGTCATCGCGAATGCCCCGAATGTGCCAGATAACGGTCAAGTTACACACTGCGCCCTTCTCCACTCAGCAACCAGCAGATGGGTGTCCCTTCAAATGGACGATGGCTTCCCCTCGTCCCTAATATATCCAGCCTGTCTATCGCGAGACAGGGGGGTACTGGGAGACCCGCTGGCCAACATCAGATTGGTGCGGCTGAATAAATTTCCCAGGTCACAGTTCAATGCAAACGCCATGTTTATTAAAGAAAGTTTAGCGCTCTACCGCCGGGGACATTTAAAGGGCAAATTAAAAGTTGAACCTGCGTCCTGTCAACCCTGAGCACTGCAACTTTCAGGAATGTCTCAGACAACGTAGCACATTTCATAACGCCGGAGAACTGCTCATCCAGTGTGCCTGTGAAGTCAAACTAGATGTAAAGAAACACAGAAGTAAAGTAGAGCAGAGCCACTTGCACATTTGTCATTCGCTCTCCCGTGTGCATTTCGTGTTTAGAAGTCAGCTACTCAGCGTTGCTCTCTTACAATTTCAGAGCGGAGAATTTAAAGAAAAGAAATCAGGTATTGTATTCAATAAAAAGAAGCAGCATATATACAGTTCGAAAGGCGAAACGTTTATTTGCAATTATGAATTAATTCACGCCAGAAACACTCGAACATTTCCCGGGTAGAACATTTGGCGACACTGGTTATCAGATCATGTAACTGTCCACTTGCACATGACCCTGTTTTATATTGTGGCCGTATGAATGACATTCCAGGTTTGAATGTATCTCATATTATTTACAGCCTGCTTCAACTTTTTTTTTAATTATACCGGTGTGTTTTATGTTTAAGCAGACACCGGCAACAATACAAACATATAATCTCAGATCAACTCGATCCGGACATAAAGGTGACATTGACTTTTAGTACACCGTCATAGGGGTGGTCTTGTCTGGTGTCTGAGGCCCCTACAGTGTGAAAGAAAAAAAAACTGAAAACGAAGAACCATTTATTTGCATTAATTGCTGGCAGTCTCTCAAGTTCTAGCATATCAAGGGAGTCTGGTGATCGAAAGCTCAGCAATGATATTGAAACGAATCCATCGGCCAACCCGAAGTTTGAATAGTGTGTCACAGGGGGGCGAATTGGAGAACACGCGTACAGGAAGAAAGGAGGGACATTTCATCACCCATCGTTTTTAAACTTGACCTCCTACCAATGTTGCCGTGGCGTCACGAAGGCCGGCGGACCACTTGCATAGTGATAACATTCGTTTACATCAATTTACGAATGTGAAGACTTTTACTGCGTAAACGTTTAGAACTTTTAGAATGTTGATCCGCCGTTTCTGAATGACTGAATTACTTTCAATAAGAATCTTTATGGGTCGATTTACAACATCAAGGAAAATCGCAACTCGAGTCCCCGCGAGGTTTAAGACGGTAATCTCTCACAGAAAAAAAAACAAAAGCATGACGTCCGGAGACGATCATGGCACACGGGCGCTTGGCGACATGGAGTTTCTTCTAATTGAACCTCGGGGCTGTTGCAAACATCCCAGGCTGTCTGGAGCCACAGCAGTGCCGGTCCTCCAACTGTTTACCTGACTGAATACACCTGATTTCCCTTTCCTGACAGGTCCCGTCACAAAGCAGAGATTTCACTTCCACGCACGCTCCATAGTGTTTTGTTGTATTTTAAGCAGAAGCCTGGCTGGGACATTCAGTCTTCCTCAGGAAAATAACAGAGGAGGGAACCCTGTCGTTCTGAGGCCGACCTGACTCGACTCTGCCCTCTCTGTTACTATACCCGTCTCAGACTCCTTGCTTTGAGAAAGAAAACCGCAAGATGGCCTTGCAGGCATCTTTGTCCCTGTAATTAAACTGCGAAGAGACGCTTGAAATGTTTCTCAGGATCTGATTTTAGCAGCCCAACCCCCTTGATTTATTTACCTGCTTTTTGGGTTTAATTTGCTGAGAGACATTTTGTAAGGTACTGCCACCTATAAAAGAAGGTTTACAAGCAAGAACATAAATCTATCTTCGCACAACGTCCTCTATTTATTGACCTTGGCGGAACAGAAATTCGATTGCTCTCTTTTCATGTTGAAGCAACCATGGACACAAACCCACCACACCTTGCGCTCTGACTGGGCAGGGTAGGATACGAATTAGGACGTTTTGTCTCTTGTCGTGTCCCATGTGAGAATACAGCACTGTCGGGAGATTGGTTCTGTCATTCTGGCTTTATAATCTGGTAATGCTGATTAAAAATAGTGCTGATGACAGCATGTTATTCTTGTTAAGCCTCTATAAAGTGCAATGTTATATATGTGCGTATTTTCCACAACTTTCAAAGGTAATTAAAAAACTAAAGCAATCATACATAAATGCTAAAAGATAGTTTAAGCATTATAAAACAGCTTACAAGAAAAAACACACTGATACATCATATCCAAAACCTAGTTACTTTTGCAGGCATTAAAGTAACAATCCAAAGTACTCCGTTCTCCTTTTTTATCGATTTCTCTCTTAATTATAGCCATTTCTAATCAATCCTATGAAGAAGAAAGCTTTCGGTTTGTGTGTGTTTTGCAATCTGAAGAATAAATTGAGTTTATTAGAATAACCAGACTCTGCCGAGTGTTGTAAGGCTGTAGTACCAACAGACCCTTTCCATAACTGACAAAAATAAGATTGCATGCACATTTGTGTGGTTGATTAAAATAACCAACTACAAGTTTTAGAAGCGAGTGAAGAAATACCACTCGGCCATTTCTCAAATGTTCTTGGTATTGCTGAACAGTCTGTTTCACAGCTGTTTGTGTATCAAGTGCTGCATAGCAACGGTAGAATTGAACATGTTTCTAAGGCTTCACTTTGAGAGTAACCTGATATTGCAGCAGTTCAAAAGAACAATTTAAAGAACGCCCTTCAATTACGGAGGCGGAGACATTTTCGTCAGGTGCTTACAAATGAAGATACTGTCAACAATTACTTCTTAAATAGAAAATCGTATCACCAGACAAGCGCGATTCTTTCTGTGCACTCACTGTTTATATGTTAACTTTCTTCACATCCCATTTTATATATATTTTTTGTGTTTTGTTGAAATATTATATTTCTAGGTTATGCAAAAAATAATGTATGGCATACATAGATTCTCCCAGTGACCGGACTGAAATGAAATTAATTAGAATCTGTAAAGTAGAATAGAAAATTCAGATATCTGTTTTTGACTGCAAGAATAATTGTAGTATCTGATATTCATACATCGGAACCGCTGTAAGAATGATCGGGAATGCACCGAGATTTATAACTGGCTAATGAAGGAATGTCAGTTTTTTTCATTTTTATGTATTTGTTTTAAATACATGCATATTAACCCAGAGCTTTTAAATGCAGGACTCTGCATATGTTAATTTTGAAAGATTTCTCAATCCAGCGTGGTCTGCATAGTTACTCCCCACGGCGCTAACTTCAGAGGGACCGGGCCGCTTTCCGTTGCCCGTAGCAACGTCATACTTATTCAGAGGAAGAAAACAGAAGGAAGAGGAAGAGTTTAAGGACAGCTTTCTTCGCTACTGGGATTACGTTCGGTCAATATTTACCTAAAGGCAACAGTAGCCGATCGATTGCACTTGAGCAATACTACTGTACACACGTTTGCGCAGAAGCCGAATCAGTTCTGCATAAACCAAACTTCCTACATAGAAAGCTGGACATTAGATCGTCCTTGACTGCAGTTTGGCGGCCTTTCACGGCATAAATATACGTAGAAAAAAAAGCTCCTAAATCTCTGAAGACCGTCAGAAGCTCTTTCCATGCGAATATGTCAGCGACGGAGATCTCCGCACGCCTCCCGGCTATCCAGCACCCGCTGTCCAGGCTGGGGGACCCCGACTCCATCTCGCTCCGAGGCGTCGCCGCGGACAGCGCCAGAGCCCCGCGGGAGACGGCGGGCGAAGGGGAGAGAGCCGAGGCGCTGTCCCGGAGCCAGAGCAGGAGCCTCCGGCCGAGACTCGAGAAGGGGCCGAGGCCGGAGAGGGACAGCCCCTTCCCCCTGCACCAGATCCCCGAAGGGGTGGAGGTGGCAGCGGCTCCGGCTCCGGAGAGGCCCCGGCTGCCCGTCTTTGGTGAGTTCCGCAGGGGCGAGGGCGACGAGGCAAGGTCTGTGGGAGGAGGTGCGAAACCGGCTGCAGGTTTCCCCCCTCGCAGGTGAGAGCGATTGAGATCCAGGTGAAAATGTGCGCACCGTGTTGAGGGTTTTTGTCAAGTCGTGCGGCTGTCGCTCAAAAATGGTTAAAAAAATCACAAGTTTGAAAACACACAACTGCATGCGAAGTTCCCTTGTTTCTTGGCTTTAGGGCCAAATGCAATGATACTGTTGGCCATACTGTAGGGGTAATTGTAATGCTGTCCCGCAAACGGCACAAGACTTGCTCGTTGTATACGCCACTTCAGGAGCAGGTGAGAAAAGGCAAAATACTGGAAATTTAAAACAGATTCAATGTACTGTAGATACATTGAAAGTACCGAAAAACGTTATTTTAGATGTTTCTGACTAGTTGGGAGACATTTGGGTGACGTTTTGAACACAGTATTTGTTGACGTGTTTGTTGAGACAGTATGTGTGTTCCAGACAGAAGTGCCCGCGCTAGGGTTAGGGTTTCAGTAAGAACTAGACTTTTTTTCTGATGCATTTGCTGTGCTTTAGGGGGTATTTGAGAGGCAGGAAAAGTCTCGTTTTGTTGTTTCCTCGAGAAAACACTTTGGCAAACGGAGTGGTCAGCAAGTTTTAAGGGGGAGTCCGTCGAGTGTCGCTTGTTTTCGTTCGGCGTTCGCGGACCCGGACGCCCAACGCTGGATAGATGTAGCTGGGCATTCTCTCGATTTCGCTTGACATGCCCAGGCAGTGTAGAATTCAGTCTGCCGCAATGTTCTCGGTCCTTTTTCCGAAGTCAGATCTTTATCGCGCTGCTTTCCTTTTCCAGCAACGACTTGGGAGCAAAATAGCGTTAAAACGGACACATTTTCCATGCCCACGAATCCTGTAATTCGGTGGGATTGCCGATATTTTATTTCCCGGTGTCACACTCATTTCAGCACCACAAACAGCTCCAGAAAGTAAATTCCTATGTCTCTCTGTTTTTCTGGAATGCATATTTATATTCTTAACTAAAATCCACCCTTAAATCTGTCACTAAACTAAATGCCTCCTTTGGTTTCTACGGGTGAATGAGGCTGTTTTCAGACACCTTGGTGTTGTGGGTAAGTACGCCATCTATAGGATGTTCATACTACAGTATAAACCGAGTAAATTAAGTGAAAGTATAGGAAAAGGAAGGATAGTTTGTTTCCTCCAAAATACTTTGGATGGGGATACGTGGATTTTTCATCCTTTAAAATATTGCAGACGTAGCCTAAACTCGAAATAGTGATTGTGTTACATTAGTACAGTCTATGATTACAGTTGCGAATTAAATTTGATTAATTATATGTAATGTCGACTCAGTGCATTACAGTCAGAGCGGTTTCGTTTACTAACCAAGACATAAAAATGAGTTTCGCGTAAATAATAACTACAAGGGTACAGTGGGAATGCCCTGATTTCGCGTCAGAAGTACTATTATTCTGAGCTGACGATGTATGTACCCGAGAGCAATCACCTGAGGGTCACCTGGTGTGAAAAACAGAATTTGAATGGAGTATGTTTAATGATTATGTACAATAAAGAAATACTTGGAACGAAATGTTCTCTTTCGAATAGTTATACGTTTGAAAGTCTGTTTGGTACCCATTCGCGTTTCAGGCAAAGTCTGTAGAATTAGTGCACTCTGGACCTAGCAGTGCATTAAGGAACTAGTCAAACTCATTTTGGGGAGCAAATTCTCAAATATTTTTTTTAAACGGGAAGTTAAGTTGCAAGTTTAAGATGCAATAAAAGTTTAATATTTCCTGGAATCATACTACAAATGGCAAATTATGAAATTATGATGAAATTTCCGAATTCCACTTCTGTCACTTCTGAGATGAGAAAAGAGAAATGTTGCTATTTCGGTTCGTCCTGTCTGCTTTTTGGATCTATGCATCCGAAGTAATAGTTGAAAGTATGGTTTAAAAGTTTTTTTAATAAATAAAATATTACAGGGAAAGTTATGTTTCCAGGAAATATTATGACCAGCAGCAATATACTCTATAAAGATATCCTCGGTCTGATTGGTTTGTTGTATTGGTAGCCTAGTGTGTCATTCCATTTTGATATGAAAGCTGTTAGTTGGAATATTTGTTTTGTTTAAATATTATTGCCGTAGTGGCAGAAAGGTGGGAGCGGTTTACCAGATGAAAACACAAGCGTTATAATTACAAGGGCTTTACACTCTAGTTTAAGCTATTTTAATGTTTGCCCCGTAATACTTCAATATAGCAAAATACACTGCAATTACAGATAATGGCCACAGGAGGACAGCGTTGTCCAATTGAATAAACCGAGTTGCCGCGTAACCGAAACACCGTGGAAAAAAAATCGAAAACCAAATGTTCTCGGCAGTTTAACAGGTCTATGCCTGAAATTTGGGAATCGATTTTCTAACTAGGGACAGTGGGGGGTAATCTGTTATAAACATGCCTGAAAGTCATGCCGCCTTCTGTGCACCCACCCCTGATCGGAGAGCGGCGTGTCCGGGTGGACAAACTGGATCACCCACACTGAGAGAAGAAGACCCGTTCCCCCTGCCTGTCCATCACAGAGGGGCAGAAGAATTGCACGGATTTATACATCACACACGGATTTATGTATGCAGGACATCAGGGTTAAGACCCCTAATATTTTGAGCGGTGCCAGGGGATAGATAGATATTTTATTAATCCCGTGAGGGAAATTGCAGTGCAACAGCAGCCTGGCACAATATACACACACAGAACAGTACAACTTAATAATACAGAAAATACACAAATAAGCCACAATGTACAGTGCACAAAGAAGATGTATTGCACAGTATAGATATATTGTACCATCCACAAATGTAGATATACACAACACAATTATAGATGGACTGCAAATCCATTTGATCTCTATTGAGGCAGGACCTCAGTGTTATGATCATCTGAAAAACTTCACCTCCTGGAGCGCCCTAATACAGTGTTACTATACTGGGGCACAGGACTGGAAATTCTGGTCCAGAGAGGTAAGAGCGCCACCTACTGGCCCGACAGCACCATGTACAACAGCAACCTGGTTTTCCTTAGCGCTCTCCCATCCCAGAACCGGCCAGGTCCGGTCCGGCTGAGCTGCTGTGATCTGACCAGATCAGCTGTAGGTTGGCTCCCTCAGATTACGATGCATGTTCTTGCTCTGCGTCATGACATCACTTTCCAGCATCAAAACCAGGGGTCTCGGTTAAGCAATCGCTCAAAATGACCTCATAAGTTTTCATGAAGGGAACACTTATCCTTGAGGGCTGAAGGATATTCTGTCTTTTCTTCTAAATGATTTGATTGAGCACGGGACCTGTTTAAGTGATCGCAGGGGAATTGTTCCAGGCCTCCAGAAACTGGTCATTTAAAGGCTGCCTGTGAAACCTGCTTTATGGCCGTCACTGGGATCACGGGGAGACCCCGAAACTAAATAAATGCACAAGTTCGTAACCGAGCTGTTTTGCAATGAACTTGCCGTCAGCGATTGTTTTTTCTTTATTCGAGTAAACTGTTTTTTCCGGTGCTGCAGAGAGCTACGTTGTGAACGGTCCTCTCGCTGGCCGCTGTGACGTTTAGCGTGCAGTGGATCCAGTCCGCGGCCTGTAGCTTCTCCTGCAGCTGAAGAGATGTGCAGGGGTGGGAAGGCCCCTCCCCGCAGGGGGTCGCAGCTGGCTGACGGTGCCCCTTGCGTGCCGCAGGGCTGCGAGCGGAGATCGGGGGCCGAGCGGAGAGCCGGGGGAGCGCCTGCAGCAGCAGAGCCAGCACTGCCTCCCGCCCGGGGACCCAGCTGCAGGCTGAGGTGGACGAGGTGAGGCAGCTCGCCGCTGGCCTGGCGCGAGGGCACCGTCTGTTCCGTCTGGGTTCCGTCAGCACCCCTGTCTAACCCTTAGTGGTGTCTCATTCTAACCCTAACCCTAACGCAAGGGCGCTGTCTGTTCCATCTGGGGTGTACGCTGTGCCCTTAGTGGTGTCTAACCCTAACCCTAACCCTGTCACGGATGTCAGAAGGGCATGCCGTGGAACCACAAGGAGAGCAGCACAGCACTGGGGGGAGGAAAAACCTCATTTCACTGAAAGGAAACCTCTGGGAGTCCACGGCTAACCCCTCCTCTGGGGTAAAAAAACCTTTATTGAGGAAAGGAAGGGGGGGGGGGTCGGACTGGGCTCCGGAGGAGAGAGACAAAAAAACAGACCGAACAGGTAAAAAAAATCACACACAACAAAAAATAAACCCTGATGGAACCGGGGAACTAACAACACATAAAAAAATGACCGACAACAGATAGGGAGACCAGCGGGCATGGGAGCCTGGGACAGACAAAACACGCAACAAATATAAACCGTGATGGAACAGGGGAACAAACGACAAGTAAAAAATATCTCTCAACGGAGAGGGAGAGTAGGGGGCATGGAAGCCCGGTTCCAGGAGTAAAAAAAAAATTTCCCAAAACCAGGAAACAACACAAAAAAAAATCGCTCGCAGGGTCTAGTGTAGGCTCAGCATTCTGTTACTGATGGCAGAAAGGGCAAGCTGTGGAATGGCCAGGAGGGCAATAAAGACCCTATGCGTTGAGGTAAAAGGGGGCAACACAGAGGTTAGCCCAGGCTCAGGGGGTCAGACGATGTCAGTATAGAAACCTATGCCCTCAGGCCACAGACACGGGGCGACCTGGTGCTAGGCGGGTGTCAGGACATTGTACCCTCAATGCTGAACCAGGAGCAGAGCAGACACAGGAAGTACATAGGCCACACAACAAGACACACCGGAAAGACATGAATAATCACAGGAAACTAGGAACAGGACAGAAGAGCAGCGCCCTCTAGGTGTACAGGGCGGGACAAACCCTAACCCTAATGCAAGGGTGCAGTCTGTCCGTCAGAGGGCGTGCCGTGCCCTTAGTGGTGTCTATCCCTAACCCTAATCCAAACCCTAACCCTAACCCTAAACCTAAGGCAAAGGTGCAGTCTGTTCCATCCAGAGAGCGTGGCATGCCCTTGGCGGTGTCTGTCCCCAACCCTAACCCTACACAAGGATAGCTTCCACCCAAAACATGCTTTCAAAGTACTGGTGAAATCATAATCCTGCATTTCCACAAAATCTGTACACAACAACAGGACTTTCAGGAAGCCAGACACACATTCGTCTAAGCAATACGCCTGAGAGGATACACATGACGTTTCCGTAAAAATGTGGCAGAAACATTTCTAAATATTTTAGAATATAGTGTATATTTTGATTTATTCCGGATTAACACCTGAGGGAAATATGAAACAGAAAATTCTGTTTCATGATGGAGAAGTTCCTCATTATTATCCAAGATAATTATTTAGTTATAACAATGAACAAAAACTTAATCTTAACAAAATGTTTAATTTTATTTTAGCCACTGTTGTAATCTTGTGCGATGTTATTGTTAGAGTAACAGATTATTATATTGTTACCTGGTGTTATTACAGTACAAAAGCAGTAATAGTGGTGCCTATCTTGGATATATACATTCAGTGTTCAGTAATTCATTTAATGTAAACCTAGTAATGGAAGTGTGATCTCAACTTTATTTTATGCAAGCCTGAAGTTTCTCGTACCGTTTTTAGTTCTCACGCATGTTTAAGGAAAATGTTTTAATAACAGCCCAGTATGTTTTAATATTTAATACTTTGTGTTCTTTCTGGGAATCGGCAGCTGGAACATCTCCTCCGTGAGAAACTGCGAGCCGGTGGGTATTTCACCATGAGGCAGCTCTTCAAGAACAATGACCCTGAGGGCAAAGGACAGGTGAACAGGTACAGAACAAGTACAGGCGAAGAGGTACAGGTGAAGAGGTACAGGGGAACATAGACAGATGCAGAGGTAGAGGTGAGCAGGTACAGGTCAGCAGGTACAGGTGAAGAGGTAGGGGGGAACAGGTACAGGTGAGCAGGTACAGGAGTAGAGG